TTATTTGCTAACCACAGGAAAGCCTGAATAAATTTATTGTCTTTTTCTTCAATAAACCAAACTGGAGGACATTGACATACATTTGAAACCTTCCTTTGGTTGCAGGGAGTATGTTACATATAGTAAAAGGAATGTGGATCTTATCAATGTCATGAAAACTTGCTACTTTGTGGCAGTTTGACCTAGTTTATGTATTAGCTGAGAAGAATATTACACTGCAAAGCAGGCAGTTCTATACTGGGTTGCCACCTATCACAACCTTTGACTTTCTATATAATTCACAAAGTTTATAGAGTAGGTCATATAACCCACTGTGACCTAAATTAATAATTCCTGATGGATTCAACAAATATATATTTCACCAAATATATTTTAGCTTGACATTTTGTATACCTCAGCCAATCCATAATTTACTCTGAACTATTTTTTCCACTAACTTAATTGTATCTATATTATGTTCTTTGCCTCAACTTGTTGAATTTCCTTTTTCTTAACAGTCACACCTTTGAAAGTATTTTTTTTAAGGATCTGTTCGAGGTTTTCATTGTAAGGAAATGGACAAATTCCTCTTCTTCTATAAACAACCCCATAGCCATGTTATGCCCATGTAATTACATCAAAATAATCACTTGGTATTGAAGATTACATGTTTCTGTCCTTACTAAAACAGATTTTTAGTTTTCCAATACTTAGACATGGTGATTTGATTTTCTTTTATTTTCACACTGGGTTGCCTTGAAGCTGAGCTAGAGAAGGAAACTCATGATCTAAGCAAACCTGAACGCAAATCTCTTGGTAACTCTCAGTGTGATTAGCTAAAAGCATAGAATAAGAGATGAAGGGAAACCTATCCTTATAAGACTCTGAGGAGCCATTGTCAAAGCATATCAAACTGAGCTAAATGGGTAAATAAAGCCTGAGCTGAGATGATGGGATTCTCCCCCACCCCCGTATAATGCAAGCAAGCACTATCCCTGGCCATAATGAACACCCTAATTTAGCCCAAATCACCAAATATCTCAGCTAAGCTTTGGTCTCATTACGGTCTTGGGACACGCGTCAGGGCCGACAATTGCTGAGTTTTTCCAGTCATGCTGCTGTCGGCAATTGTGGTCGGCGGCCATTGGTGCTTCTTTGGGAACAGGCAAAGCAACCAACCATTCAGCATACAATATCTAGCCCCCCCACCCAATCAAGTGCTACGCAAAGGAAAGTGGGTTAGGCCTCGCCCACGTTCTTCCTTTCCTCCCTCCCTTCTACAATAATACTACGACGGCTCCACTACGAGGAATTTTGCTCCATGAGACTCGGCACCCGCTTGCCTTTGGTTGTAATTCTGCTCGTCATCGTTCTCACAATCGCTGCAATGTTGGTGATTATTCTCCTCGGTTGCTGTCCCCTTCAGTGCTGTCTCACCGTCGTCCGCCATCTTGGTAAGGGGAAGCCTCCTCAACTGACGCGGTTGCGCAGTGCCCAAAGCCAAATCTCGATTGGACGCTCAACTGCTGTGCGCCGTGGGATTTGTAGGCAACAATGTAATTTACAAACCCCTCATCAAAGCAATAGAGGGCGTGGAATTAAAGTACCCATGAGTCTTTGTGGAAAAAAGGTTCCCAGTACTGAACTAGCTCTCTCTTATCTCCTCCGGCTATCTTGCTGGCAGAGGTGCCCTAAATCACAGGGAAGATGGGATACTTACTTAACTCTTATTAACACTTATTAACAAATTCCTTGTGTGTCCAATCACAATAAAGAATTCTATTCTATTCCATTCCATCCCTTACTTAATTGTACCTCCAAATTTTGACCTGTTTATATCAAGTAAAACTATTACAATAAAAATGCAACTAAAAAGGCAAAATGAACAATATATTAAATCAATAAAAACACATAATAAAACCCAAATATTATTTAGTTCCTAAATGCTGAACAGAACAGAATCAACTTAATTTGTTTTTCTAAAATTCAGCCAGATGGGGGCTGATTGATCCTCAAGGGAAGTCGTCTTCCATATAATGGAGTTCTAATTTTGAAATAACCTTATTCTAGATATGGAACAGTTTTTTCAGGGGCAGATTAAACCTATCTGCCTAGATTATTTTGTTTACTTCTTAGGTACTCTGTTGTATTTACTTGAGGGTTTAATTATGTTTCATTAGATTTTATCAACTTCTTTGAATTGTAGGTCCAACTATTACTCTCTTGCCCTCTATTTTAATCCTAAAACTGGTAGTTTTTATCAAATGCTTCAGAGCACTACAAAACCATTGGCCTCTGTGAGAAACAAAATGTTGGATTAAGATAGTTTTTGGTCTGATCCAGGAGCATTATTATGTTCTTATTAATCAAGAGGGGGAAAATACAAAATTCAAAATACTCAGCAGAACTGAAGATATGTTTGCATTAATCTGCTTTATTAAAATAAAGATATTTGTCCTCTGTTATTTTGGGATTTAGTCTTTAGTCCCATACTAGAAGGTAGTTCATTAAGTCAGAAGGAATGAATGTAGAGTAGAAGGCAGATATGAGATTTATACTGAGCATCATAGTAACAACCACTTTCCAAGCAAATTGGGTGTGATGAAAATTAGTTCTGACAATTGTACCCAATTTATTTAAAACTGTAGAAAAGGCATACATTAGTTTCATTTTATAAATTGCTTTTATACCTAGGCTCATTCCCAATATTATTGTAGGGAAAAAAAGTGATTCTGATATTTTTTAGTACATGGACTTAATTTCCAAACCTCCGCCACCCCCAAATAATCTAGGTTTTATACAATGTTCTCCTTGATCACAACTAAGCCTTGGCATCAGAATTGCACAATGAAGTATATATACATAATAATTTTTTATGAATATGAATAGAAAAAAGTCCAGTCTATAGCCTTTATTAACTTACTGTACATCAAATGCACAAAATATGTTAAAGTGATGGATTATAATTTCTATAATTCTCAGTTCATGTATTTATCAGAAAAAAGATTGCACAAAGAAATTGTAACCAATGAACTATGTTGCCTACGGTTGGACTTAAGCGTAGTACACAAAATTATCTGCTACAATGTCCTACCGGACAATGACTACTTCAGCTTCAACTGCAACAATACAAGAGCACACAACAGATACAAACTCAATGTTAACTGCTCCAAACTTGATTGCAGAAAGTACGACTTCAGCAACAGAGTGGTCAATGCCTGGAATGCACTACCTGACTCTGTAGTTACATCCTCAAATCCCCACTCCTTTAACCTCAAACTATCCACTATTGACCTCACCCCATTCCTAAGAGGTCTGTAAGAAGCTTGCATAAGTATACCATCGTGCCTTCTGTCCCTGTCCTATTGTCCCCATTTAATCGTACCTATTTTCTGTATTCTTACTCGTGTTTATACTTATACCTATTATTTTGTAAGCGATTGACAAATCAAATCAATCAATCAATAAATAAATAAGATGTAATTTGAGGAAACTATAGGGAATTGTATATAATTATTTTTCCTGAATCAATCAGTCAAGGTTTGTTAAAATGAGTACATCAATGTCTTTATATAACTTATAAATCTGATTCATTCTAATAGTACAATCTTAAACATTTACTCAGAAGGTAAGGTTCACAATGGGTTTATTTCTAGGTACATGAACATTTTATCTCAACAGGTGGCACTAATGGACAAGCTGATCTTCTTTCTGAAGCTACCATAAATAGGGTTGAGCTTCTTTAACATTTAAATTGGAGACTTAGGAAGCCCAAACAGTATCCTGGAAGAAGGAAAGGGAAACTACTCATATCATTGCAAGAAACCTGTATAGATGTTATCAGGAGCCAAGCTTGACTCAAAAGAAAAATTACCTGTAGATGGATACAACTGCCTATTCATTTTGTAGAAAAACTCTTAATTGTTAACTTAAGGTTATTTAAGGTAACTTGTAAATTACCTTAAATATGCCTTTTCTGAAATCACTTTTTATGTTATATGTAACTTGCCAAATAAAAACAAAATATGAGTTTTGAATATATAATTGTGATTTATATCACATTACACAACATCTTTGACCCATTTTTAATTCAGCGCTATATATCATCAGACTGACTGAAATTCTCCAAGGCTTTCGAAAGTTTTCCAGACCTCTCATTTATTTTTAAACCCAATATGCCAATAAATTAATTACGTTTTTGTAACTAGTTTTCTTCATAGAGCTTAGGGAATTGTGCATAGTTGCTCTCACAAATGCTCTCATCTCAGTTAGTCCCATAAGATTGGCAAGTCAAAAGACATTCTGAGTTTAATACCTTAGCAGGGATTTAAGCCATTGTCATTCCACTCAAAGTTAAAATCAAACACTATTTTCAACCCAGGAGAAAACCGTTAGCTTTGCTTTTGTTTTTTTAGTTTCAAGTCAGTTGCCAAAGGCATCTTTTCCACTGAATATGTGTATGTCAAATAACAAGGCAAATTTTGTACTGGACTCTTCTACAGAACTATCCTAGCTGAAATCATACATTTGGACCTCAAGGAAAACCTTTTCCAACAAGTCCTTTGAGATGCATTGACTATGCAGGTTAGGAATTCCGAAAATATTAAAAGACTGCTGGACAAATACTCTCCCCCTATTTCCCCGCCTTTATAATTAGTTCAAGAATTGGCCATTATAATTGGGAAGACCTGGAATATGTCAATTGTTAACTATTATTATTTGATGAGGAATTACTTCCACCAAGAACCAAGCAGTGCTCCTATTGACTCAATAAGAAATTCGTTTCTTAACTTTTATTAAAGATAACGCAATTTTGACATTAGAAAGAATAAATCAATCTCAGTATCCCCTGCCGTTCATCGCTTCTTTTCTTTGCTTGGCTTCACGCTGGAAAAGTCAAGCTCAGTTTGGGTAGCAGGGATTGGATGGAATTCCCAGCGTGATTTCTTTCAGCCAATAAGGAATGAGAAAAGTGAAATGTACGTGAAGCCCAAGAAGTAAGCCGTAGCAACCTTTCGAAATAGGGGAAGTGCTTGAAAGAATTCAGATCATCGAGCGAGAACTGGAAGCCGTGATACAATATTCCTTCTTCTTTTGCATGGGAGAATAAGTTTTTGTCTCCAGTTCCAGATCCTGGTGAGGCATGGGCAGGATTATTCTGAACATAGGAAGAGTCGTTTCTCTCCTTGAACAATCGTAGTAGTCAGTCCCTTAATTCTCCGTTTATATGAAAGGGATGTCAGATTGGTATAACGATTTTAAACCCCAGCCTGCCCCTCTTTTGTAGAAATTAAGATGCAAGTGATACGGACTGTCATAGAATTTGTTTGTGTACCTTTAATACATTTGAGGAAAGTTGCCCTATTAACCGAATAACCAAGCAACGCCAGTAATGGATCGGAATAAAGATACTGAAACCTGCACGCGCTTGTGTTGTAGGGGACAGTATGAGAACAATGTGCATTGCCTTTTTCCGGGTTACCTTTCCGATTTAATCCCCAGAAGAAAGATCAGCGAAGTTCGGCTAAGCTGTACCCCCCTCTAAAATGAGGACGTGTGGGTGGATGGGGTAGACGTGATTTATTTAATAAATCCAAACCTTGAAACAAAAGATAATATTCATAGTAATACTTAAATTTGAAATACTAAGTTCCCAAAGTGGGATCTTATTAACATATTTTGAAACTGTTTGAGGTACTCTAATTGAAAATTGTTTTATAACCTAGCTCGAAAGACTTCAGATTTACTTTCCTGCTTAACAGATACAATAATGATTTGGAAATAATATTTGCAATTCTTACCAGTGTTGAAGAAGGCAAATGGGCATCTGATTTAGAAGTTCTGAAACTTTCGCTTTTCTGGGGAGAGGGGAGAAGGGAAGGGGGCAACTACAAATGTTATGGGGGAGGGAGGTAAAATGTTTGTGATTTCTATTCTATTATTATTATTATCTTGTAAGCAATTGACAAAAATAAATAAATAAAATAAACAAATAAAATAAATAAATTACCAGGCAGTCAACAGCTGGGGGAATAGACAACCTTTCTAAATTGTGCATGCCTCATTTGATTACAGATGGGTGACATTGCATGAAACTTGGCAAAAGAAAAATATTTTTTTAAATGTGAATTAATAAACTTTACAAGCAAATGGACTCTGTAGTTCACAAAAGGAAAAAAGAAGAGAGATAGGAATTTTGAGATGCTTATTATGAGGATTTCTCTGGATGCCAAAGTAATTTTAGGGGACAAGGAGGCCCCTAAAGAAGACAAGTGAATGAAACTATATTTCATGCATGGATTTAAAAGTTCCAAAGCAGTTTGGAGGCAATGATTTGTATTTTTTTTTTAAAAAAGCTGGAATTAAGGCCTATAAAATTGCTTTTTGTTCTAGGTGTGCATTTAAATGTAAGAAGAGTAATTGTCCAGATAGGTAAGAATGACAATGAATATATAGTATCCCTAAACTCATATTTTGTTCCATTTTTTAAAAGTGTACAAATTATGTCAGGTTTAGTAATTTATTTCTTTTTCAGGACAAAATGTTTTTGGTGGGATTGACAGGTGGCATTGCATCAGGGAAAAGTACAGTAGTAGCTCTGTTGCAGGAACTGGGTTGTGCTGTTATTGATGCTGATGTTATAGCACGTCAAGGTGAGTTTTCTATAAAGTTACTTGTTTGCAGATCAGTATGATTTTCCATAGAACCACTTTAGAAATCCTGTAGAATTCTAAATTGAGACATTATTGGGAATGATTCCATACTCCTTACTTTTAAATATGACATTTCACATGTCTTGGAACGAATGTATATATTATATTTCTCTCTTCTAACAGCCTCTGGTGTTCATCAGACTGTGGGGCTAGTTGGTACTAAATTCCATCTGAAGATTTTCTAACCACGTATGTGTGTATATGTCTCTTCCTCTCTTTCTCTACACCAATACTCCTCCCTCCCTCCCTCCCTCCCTCTCTCTCTCTCTCTCTCTCTCTCTCATACACACACACATGAGACTGACCATGGGAAGAGAAGAAAATTTATGATAGAAAATTGCTTGTAGAGGTAGAGGGTTATTAAAAGACTTTCTCCCTTATAAGATCCTTACCAGTTAAATCCCCCACAAGACATACCACTGTCTGAGGAAGAAAATCACGTTGCGTGTTTCATCCTTTTAACTCCTTACTTAGTATAAAGATTAGCCTTCAAAATCCTTTCTTTGGGTGTTGGGAGTAGATGAGGGAACTTATTTTATGTGACTTCAGTGGAACACAGTTGAGGCACCTGAAAAAAATAACTATCTGGCTTTATTCTCAGTGTTTATTTTGTTATTTCCACTTGTCCATCCCAAAGTAGAATATATGACTGATTTATGACAGTATTTTTAATCATTAGAGACATCTAATATACGAAAGAAAAATGTTACATGTCATGAGTCTTAAATGTAGAATTCATTGCCACAAGATATTATGATATGTACTGGCATTAGAAAGGTATATTTCAGATGCTGCCTTGAGAGCAAGAAATGCATCTCTGACCATTCAATTCCAAATCATTGATGATGAGATGAATGCAGCCATATTGCTTTGGATAAATACAGTATTTCTGCAAAGAAAAAATGCCATGTAGATGTATGATTGTCCTGTCCCATCAGACCAATTTCTGTGTTTTAATTTGGTCTGTGATCTGTGAATAGTTGCTGGAGGTGCAACAGGACTAATGCAACATTTGGAAGAGAAGTTTGTTTCTAAGCATAAAGCCTCATTCAGGACATAAGAGGACTGACTATACATTGGATTAAAGTGTTTTTTCTTTCTTGCCTCCCTTCTTGCCAGCTGAAAGTCTTTGTAAAGCATATGGACCAACTGAATACTGACTCCATAAGGAATATTTGATGTGTCTTTCTGCTATAATGTTTTCTTTCCCCAGTGGTACAGCCACACTTCCAGGCATATCGACGTATTGTGCATTCCTTCGGTCCAGAAATTCTTTTGGGGAGTGGTGAGATCAACCGTGAAGCTTTAGGAAATATAATTTTTTCCCAACCAGAAAAACGTCAACTGCTAAACTCCATCACTCATCCTGAGATCCAGAAGGAGATGTTAAAAGAGATCTTGAAATACTTTGTCTTGGGTAAGCAGCTGGAGAGTTGATATTTTGTAGAATCCTTGGGGCACCCTTCCTGCTGACAAAAATGATAATATCTCTATTGGCCATGTGTCCATTTTATTATTCTATAGCAAGGGAAGAAAGGGCTGAAAAGGCAACTTTGCTGGCTCCCTTTGCGACATATTGTTTGCAATCACCCTTTTACTTCTTACATCTTGAGGATTCTGTGTTCTTTATACTTGCCCTTTGCATTTTTAGTCCCTTAATGTGGTTTTAAAGAGCACACACAAAAGAATCTTTAGGCAGCATTGTGCATAGTGTCATGCTTCCTGAAATGCTCAGGCGTTTCTCCAGGACCCCAATTCTCCCGATGCTCTTCTAAAAGCAGTCTTTGAATTTGCTAAGATAAAATAATGGCTTGACAGTTGGGATTTCAGCAGTGCCTTTATGTTTTTCCATTTACTTTGTGATAACTGTGACAACTACAGCCATCAAACCGGTCTAATCCAGTACCGTCCAAATCCTTCTACAGAGGATGTTATTTCTTTTGTTCTCCACCTGAACTTGGCACACTTAGAGGAAAGAAATACTCATGTGTGAATGCTGTTTGTCCATTTCAGTTCGGTACTTAATACTCCTTTGTACAACTGAATTCTTGACAGGCCCCAGTATATGTGTTTTGGGACTAATATTTCTAACACCACTTTCTTGAGCACAGGTTCTCCTCAAGGCTATGTCTTAGGTCTGCTGTTGTTCACCCTGTTGACTCATCACTGTTGTGCAAGATTTGCCACCAACGATATTGTGAAATATGCAGATGGGCCTTATTCAGGATGATAATGAGGGTACTTACTGGAAGGAGATAGAGGGTTGGTGAACTGGTGTAATAAAAACAGCCTTGTCTTAAACGTAAAGGCAGGCAAAGCCACATACCTCTGTGTATTAATGATTCACCTGTGGAGGTGGTTAGCAACATCATGTTTCTGGGTGTGCAGCTAATGAGTAGGTTAGCGTTGTTGCTCAACAGTGAGACATTGGTGAAGCAGGTACAGCAGCGCCTGCATTTTCTACGTCACATGAGAAATGTACATGTTCCTTCCCCTGTCCTTACTACTTTCTATAGAGAGATGATCGAGAGCATCCTATCATATTGCATTACTGTCTGGTTTGGAAGCATTACTGTTTCTGACAGGAGGAGAATGGTAAGGGTGACAGAGAAGATTATTGGCTGTTCACTTCCATCTATCAAGGACATAGCATATAAACAATGCTTAAGCAGGATTTGCAGTATTGCATAGGATGCTACACATCCTCTTCATGACCTGTTTTCCTTATTGCTTTCTGGGAGGAGGCTATCCATCTAAATTCAGCCACAGTGTTGCTCCATATAGTATCAACTTGTGAATTCTCAAGTTTCCTCTTTCCACTATGTATTGAAAATGAACAGTGTATGTATGTGTGTGTATGTATGCATGTATGTATGCATATGTATATATATTTATTGGTTTATAGCATGTGTACTTATTTTGAGAGCAGGCAACAGAATTCCATTTTTAATGTGATCCAGTGTGCTCATAGCAAAAAAAAAAATGACAGTAAAGACTATCTTACCTTACTAATATTATCAATGGCTGCTTTGGGGTCTTTGTACAAAAAGGGGATCTGGTGCTTATGTAAAGGCACATTATGTGTTGGCCATATTAAAAGACGCTGAGATACAACAGTGTCAGCTAGTGAGGAACTATGCTCTACATTGTCAGACGTATTAGAGGTTTAATCAGTAACCAGGGAAAACAAGAATCTTTACTTATGTTATCATATTTTTCCATCTTGTGGAAGGAGAAGTTTGGGACTAAGTTCAAGGCAACCACATCTCTTCTATTAAGGTGGGAAATACGGTGGTGCAGTTTGGAGCATAGACACTGAGGAAAGAGCTGCTGCAGGATGTCGAGTGAAAATTTGGCTTAGCAGAACCCCTGTTTAACAGGTTTCTAATGCAATAAAAAAACCAAGCAAAGATGAAGGTGAATGTCACTGCCTAAATCACAGACAAGCCCACTGTCTTGATTTTAAAAGTCTGGACAATTCTAGTTCTATGTGTGCAGTAGTGTGTTTTCTTTTACCTAGTTCTACACTGCCTCCCGCTTTCCTTCTATTGAGTAAGGAGGGAAAGAAGAGATCCCAATCAGACTGAGTTCTTTGGCACATGTGTACTCTCCGTCTTTCTTAGACACTTTCCCAAAAATTCTGGGTTGATTTGTTCAGTGATCCATTTACTTGATTTCTTGGCTGTCCACAGTATTCTCAGGATTTGCTCCCAATACTAAAGTTCAAAATAATCAATATTCTCCCTAACCTGATTCTTCAAAATTTGTTTCTATATAATGTCAAAAGAAATGTTTCTTTTAAACAAATTTTATTAATTTTACAAAACAATATACAGACAAACAAAGCATAGGATATAATAACATAAGAGATCTTTTTCTGAAAAAACCAATAAGACATCTTATTTAAAGACAGAATAATTCCAAATTATCACATTTCCATATGAACACAATTTAATATATATATTTACCTTATCTGTTCAACTTCATATCTTATCCCAACTTCTCTTTATTACTCCTTTTCCTTCTATTTATTCAAATTATATTTCTTTTACTTTAGATTGTATACATTTTTATATCCATCTGTCTTATTTACAATTTCATTGTTCTCTTCCAACATTCTTCTTACATTCTTCTAAAATTTTATTAATTCAATCATAGACATACAAAACACAAAACATAAATACCTAAAACTTCTTTTGGAAAGCGGCTTACCCCGGGTTACCTCTTTTTATACAGACAAATCAAATTCATACTCACTTAATATACTGTTTCATATCTTAATTAACATTCTGTATTTTCTATATATTTTCTCTCCTCTATTCACTCTCATAATTCTATTTATTTCATCTCATTTTAAATAATTATACTTGTATCTTTTGTCTGTTCTCTTCAATTATCTATTTATCTTTTCTTTCTAATACAATATTTCTCCTGTAATCACTGGTTGAAGTGTGACAACTTTTTATCTTTCCCCTAAATTTGACACTTGAAATAGTCAAAATAAATGTTATGGCTTGCATGATTCTGATCTTTGTGAATATAGACACATCATAGCATTTGAATGACGATTTTAAAATCTTCATGACTGATTTGTCAGGTGTTGGTCCGCAGTGTATTTCATGACTGCTTATTCCTATATTGTTGATGATTAACCCTGCAAGGCAGAAGCAATCTACCAGTTTTCTTTCTTCATTGTTATTTCTACAGCTGGTTATTCTGCCTGTTGTCATTAATTTTGTCTCTTTTATATTTAATTTTAGTTTCATTTTTTCACTGTGCTCCTTGACTTTTATTACTAGACCTTTTAGTTCTTTTGCATTTTTGGCTATCAGGTTAGTGTGATCTGTATAGGGCAGATTATTGATCCTTCTTTCTTCAATTTTAAAACCACACTCATCTTTTCCCAATCCATCTTCCACATATATATACATTCAGCAGGTAGGTAGGTAGGTTGAATAGGTAAAGGAATAGAACAAAACCTTGTGGCACTCCTTTGCCAACCTGGAGCCAGTCTGCTTCTGCATCTTCTGACCATCATTTGGCTTCCTGATCTGTACATATGAAGACCCGTGCAGATTGTTCAGTGATGACCTCATGTGACCACAACATGGGATAAGGCACTTAAATTATGTCCAGGCAGGCAGACCAAAGAGCACTATGGAATACAGGTGGATGGGAGGGAAACAAAGAGCTATGGACAGTCATTGACTTTGCTTATGGAAGGCAGGCAGGGAAATAGCAATCATGTGTTCTTGGGACATTCTTGTAATTGTGAGCTATTGCCAAGCACCTGAATTGTGATTATATGACCACAGGGAAGCTGCCATGGCTATACATTGACAAACTGGTTGTCATTCAGCAATGTTGTAACGCTGAACAAATGGTCATACTTGAGGACTACTTGTATTTATTTGCAGCATCATACAAAAAAAGATTGCTGCTATTGAAAAATTGTTTCTAATAAAGGATTAATTTAATTTAATTTAATTTCAGGCTATCGATATGTGATTCTGGACATCCCACTTCTCTTTGAGAGCAAAATGCTGACCAGATTCATGAAGCACACAGTTGTTGTGTATTGGTAAGGAGAGTACTGGAGAATACTTTCAATGCTAATGATTTAGATGGAATGAAACACGGAGAATGGACTATGTAATTATTGTTTTCTTTAAATGGAAGTAGGAGTAAAGGGCATTTTCATGTAACTATTAAAAGAATATTTAATCCAGGATAGAATTGAAAAGGCTATGGGTCATGGAATTGTCCTTTGGAGTTGAAGGGTCATTGAAATGGAGTAGAGTGATTTGTGGTCCTTCCACGAAACTGCAAACTTTTAGAATAAAGCTAAATGACCTGAGCTCTCTTCCCCCAATTCTTTGCATTTCAGCAGTTTTCTGAATGACAAGCCTTCATCTATATCATTTTCTGATCTGGCATTAGAATCTCAGTCTATTTACAAAGGTAGAGTCTTTCAATGTAGCATACTAGATGCATACTGCCTTTTGGGTGTGCAGTTATTCATAATGCATTTATATGTTCCTGTAGCCATTTGATTCATTTTGTGTATTTCTGTAGCTAGTTGGGAAGGAATTTGTAGTCCTGTTCCACCAATTACTATTACTGCTATGTATCAGAGCCTACAGGCTATATAGTGTTCTTCCTTCTGGTATGGGTATCGATAGAGTAAGCCCCATCACACTACAAATGGTCATAGGAAAAGCACATATCTGCTCTAATGTAATTCAACTTGTTTCTGCAAGACCACCTCTTGATATATAAGGATGTAAGGCAAATGCACAGGAAAGCATGTTGACAAAATTACTCTTAAGTTTGGAGAGAGTCAGCATATCTCATTTTCCAGTCCATCATCTCATGGATATGCGGAGCTTTCTGAAGGTTCAAACCGCAAGAGAATGGTGCGTTGAAGTGGAGAAGGACCAAGTAACTGAAACATCCTGCTCCCCGAGTTGTGCATTCTCTTAGCCACTGCTTTGCACTTACATATTCTAGCTTTCATGTGCATTATAAGAGCAAAACATTTGAGACTTGAGATGGGCGTTGGAGGTAAGGTCTTAGTTCTGTCATCCTGGTATGCTTGTTATACACACTGCTGTCATTCCGTGCTTAGCAACTTCTCTTTCTCTGCCCCTCAGTGCTCCTGACTGCAGCACTTTATGTCTTTTGCTACTGAAGAATGTTCAGTTACAGGGGGGAAATAAAAATATGATATTTGGAGATTCTTTCGGGAAAAGAGGGTGGGGTAAGGAACACGATTAATTTCTTTCATACCAGAGAATTCAGTTGAAGCCTTCATAAAGGAGATTTCATCTGTCAAAGAAACGCGTTATATTACTGAGTTTGTGTGAAGCGCTAAGTTGTAACTCACTGTTAACAAAGCATCGTGGGTAAGTTAATGCAACGCACCAACAAAATCAAGCCAACCATATTATACCTCGTGGAAATGTGTGAAGTAGGTTTTGGTCATGATGAAGTGAAGGCAACATAAAGAATATTGGGAACTCTTGGAAGATTACCAGCTGCTCGAGCCCAAGGAGTAGTGGTTAATTTCTTCTGCAAATCAGTTGTTACTGTTGGGAAGAGTACAGAGGGAGGGTCATAGTTAAAGTTTTCACCACAACTACAATTAATAGTGAGAAACTTAATCAGGGTTGTTGCTTCCTTTGTACTAATAACATTGGGGAAGCATCTGTCTTGCATGCAGTGGGAAGGGAGAAACAAGATCAAAGTTTTTCTTCTCAGTGATTCTGGTCTAAATGAACATTATAGCTACAATTTGGAAAACATTTGATTTTAATCGAATTCGTTTTCTTTTCTATTAGTGACCCACAAGTCCAGCTGTCTCGCTTGATGCACAGGAATGGGTTGACTCAGACAGAGGCAGAAGCACGCATTTTTGCTCAGATGCCTCTTGCTCAGAAGGTCAAGTTGGCTAACCATGTCATTGATAACTCAGGAGATGCCGAGGCCACCAAGAAGCAGGTCCTAAAATTACATACAGAGTTGGAGAAGTCCTTGGAGTACCTTACGGTGCGCTTATTGGCTGTAGGAGCAATAGTGGGAATGGGAGGCCTCGTGTACTTTCTAGTGCAGCAGTTTGTGTGACAGTCTGTTCTTTCATTAGCAAAGAAGGCAGAGGAAATCCATATCTTTAACTTAGATTGCATTGCATTAATGCATAAAAGATTGATTATCTGAACAAGAAGGAATTTTAATGGGGACTTGGATTAGTAAGTGGACTACTAGGTTAGGGGTGGTGATTGGGGAAATACATTAATAAGCAAGAATTAAAGTACTGTTTTTATATTAGTTTTTGGCATGAGAATAACTGCAAGTTTTTATTTTTTTAAAAAAGACTTATCGTTGGATGAGATCTGCTATTAACCATCTCTTAGAAACATTTTCTTTTGTGGCTCCTTTAAGAAAGTAATCAACATGCATTATTACTTCTGTAGGAGTGGGTGAGGGTAAACGTAACCAAAACACCCCCTACAAGGAAATAAGGAGTCAACTCTGTGATTTTTCACTTAAGACAATATGCTGCTTCATATTGTGCAATGTCTTTTTATTAAAATGACTAATTGAACTCAGTGTTACATAGCCAGCTTATCTTCAAATATAGTTCTTTTATTTGACATTATAACTATCAGTCTAAGATGAGTATGATGGAATGTGATTAAATGTTGTAATGTACTGGTAATGTAATATTTTTAAATTTCCTATAATCAGAGAATCTTGACTACTTCGCATGTCTGCAAAGGTTTTGAGACAGTCACAAGCTTTCTGTAAGTATTATGGTGATGCAGAGAAACACTGCAGAGTTCACTTTTGAAGCACAACTCAGGCTGAAACATACTCATATAATCTTATAGTCAGAGAGCTTTGGAACGTGCCTAAGATACTCTTTAAGGTTGTATGTTATTATCTTATTCTACTGTACCAGAAAGAGTTGGAAGTCAGTTCTTTTCTTTTTCTTATACCTTTTTGCTCTTTCTCTTCTCCTCCTCTTTTTTCCATTATTCTAATTTTTCTTCGTATTTATGTATTTTATATTTTAATAAACTAATAAAAATTGTAACTGAAACATACCCAAGATACTCTTGCACCTATACATGATGAAGGAACTAACCATGATGACCAATAACTGGTTGCAATCAAATTGTTGCTCAGTTACATTACAATCTTAATATACAATTGTTGCTCATGTAAAGTTGCTACTGTTCCTGATGTATAAAGAAATTATAGGTCATATTACTAGATTCATTATTTTGTAATAGTCTAATTGAAATGTATAGAAATTGTGGAGGAAACTAAAGTTGAAATGTGGTTTAGCTCCTGACAATCCTAATTTTGCATTCTAGTGTGAACATTAGAAGGTCCTTGTTCCATAATTATAAGTAACGCCCACATATCAGGAACTTAATCATGGCTTGCAGGCAGTATGTTCAATAAATTCAAGTGCAGTCACTTAATTTTATTTCAGAACTATATGGTTCTGTGAAAGTAGATATTAGTAGAGAGAAATGTTCATTCATATTCTTGAAAGGGATAAATGTGGTAAATTCATTTATAAATTTTGGCTTATTTTCTTATACACTCTAGTTATTCATCTTTTATACAAGTGGAATTTCACACAGCTGCATCCACAAATGTGAAATTGTAAGATAACTGGACTCTCTTAGGGCCAAGAAATGTGAGGTTTTAATAGTGCTGCTCACAAGACTCAAAATACTAAGCTAGAGAAAATGTGTTGATGTAGTCACACTTTTTTGACATATAACAAATCTGTGTTTGCCATGTTAGCAGATGCCAAGTATAATTCTGTTTTCCCTAACAGTGTACATATAGTTTCATACTGGTATATCTCTGCTTTTGACTATGCTGCATTTTCAAATGTGTACTTCAGGCAAATACTACTTGTACTATTGATTTTCTGCATTCCTGTCAAAGTAAAAGCTGAAGGAAAGGGTGGATAACAGGTGGGACAAAAATCTTACACCTGAATACTATAGATTTGGAGGATTTCCCAAGGCACAAGGGAGCCAAAGGACAGACAGCCCTCCCTAGATAGACAAGGAATTTGTCTTTGATACAGAAACTTAGTATACATGCAAAACAACAAAGTAATAATAATCATATTAATGATATTAATAAGAGAATAGCGAAGACGAGAAGGATAATAATAATGCAACCCTTCTACGTGGGCAAATATCCTTAGACATAAGGCAGCAATTAGTGTTCAGCAGAGTGATAGCACAAAGGGAAAAACTTGTCCCTGTTTAATTGTTTTGGCATTCAATGCCCTATAGCGGCATCCCAAGGGGAGATACTGAAACAGTTTATGTTCTGGATGTGAGGAGTCTGCAAATATGTTCTCAGCCCTCCTTCTGACCTGAACAACATATAGATCTTCTCTGAGAGGCAGGTTCATTGCAATTTTTCTTTCTGCAGTCTTAACTCTCCACTGGAGTCTGTACTTGTTCTGCTTGGTTTCTGTATCAAACCAAACAATTCTAGAACTACAAATGATAGACTCAATAATTATTCTGTAAAACTGTATCAACTACTCTTGGGGCAGTCTGAACTTCCTGAGTTGACACAAGAAGAACATTCTTTGTGGTGTCTTTTTTAATGATGGTTCTAATCAGGGGTGGGATTCAAAATTTTTAACAACCGGTTCTGTGAGCGTGGCTTATGTGGTGGCATGGCTTGGTGATCATGTTATTGGCTGTGTGTGGCCAACTCAATATCACTCACATCGAGGCATGCATCTCCTCGCCTGGCCTCTCATGACTGGGGATTCTGCAACAGTCATAAGTGTGAAAAGTGGTCATAAGTCACTTTTTTCAGTGCCATTGTAACTTTGAATGGTCACTCCACACAAGCAAAGTACCAGCAAAGGAGGGGAAACAAACTCCAGAGAAGTTCCAGAGACAGGAAATCTAGCCCTGCCAAGAATGTAATAAGGGTTAACAGAGAGGCAGTTTCTGTAAGCAACACCAGAATGTTTCCTTCCTGCCTTCCTTACAAGATTAGGCCAGTAATTTCTTCTAACAACCGGTTCTCCGAACTGCTTAAAATGTTAACCAGTTCTAATGAATAGGTGCGAACTGGTAGAATCCCAACCCTGGTTCTAATATACTACAGTAGTGATGCAAAAAAGACTGAAGAAATTTTGTTTAAAATGAGCACATGTTTTTTCTAGCTGGACATACCTTCTATATCTAGAAATCATAAGAGACATGATTGGGGATGGGACATCATTAGAGTGAATGGGCATAAATTTTACCAAGAAATTCATGGTATGTGGAATTTTTCTTTCTTTCTTTCTTTCTTTCTTTCTTTCTTTCTTTCTTTCTTTCTTTCTTTCTTTCTTTCTTTCTTTCTTTCTTTCTTTCTTTCTCTCTCTCTCTCCCCCCCCCTCTCTCTTTCTTTCCTTTGTTCCTTTCTTCCTTCCTTCTTCTCCTCCTCTTTCCTTAAAATTCTACATGTTTTATTTTCATCTGGAAGGATATTATGTGTAAAATTTAAAGTATTCCCAACCTTGACAAAAAAGAAATGGTACCAAATGTTTTATCTCTACACCAGGACTGTCAAACTCGCGGCCCGCAGCCCAGATGCATCATGTACTGGCCATGCCTACGCTCAGTTTAGCAAAGGGGGAAAAAGTCATGATATGTCACGTGCATAAGGTTCTTGGATCCAAACATGGTTTAAAGTTAGATATTATTAAATTTATCATTGCTAAATGGGAAAGAAGAAATAAAGTTTTATTATTGACTCAGAGTCAGGGGCAATATTGACTTTGAAAGAAAGAGATAAAAAAGATGGTGGCTAGAACTATCCTCTTTTACGTGCAATGCACATGTGACATGCAAAAGGAGAGCTTTCGTGGCAGGGTTTCATATACTATATTGAGGGTTTTAGGTTTTTTTAGCTATCCCTGCCCCATATGTGCTGATTGCAGGGTTGGAAAATGCAGACCCAGGGTGCCTAAGGCTACAAACCATTTTCACATTGGTGCCTTCCCGATGTGCTGAGAGCCAGTATAATAAAGTGGTTAAGGCACCAGGCTAGAATCAGTGGTGGGATTCACATTTTTTACTACCGGTTCTGTGGGCGTGGCTTGGTGGGTGTGGCAGGGGAAGGATACTGTAAAATCTCCAGTCAGAGGTGGTATTTGCCGGTTCTCCAAACTACTCAAAATTTCTGCTACCGGTTTTCCAGAACTGGTCAGAACCTGCTGAATACCATCTCTGGCTAGAATCCAGTAAATTGTGAGTTCCAGTCCTGCAGTAGGCATGAAAGTTGGCTGGGTGAGAATGGCCACTGGCCACTCAGGGTGGTTGTTGTGTGGAAAATAGGGGAAATAGTTAAATATGTTCACCTCCTTGAATTATTTTTACAAATACTAAAGGTGGACTGAAATGTGCTGGATTTCTACGTTAAACATTAGTTACAATCCAACACACCAGGGAGTTATCAGACTGGATAATATTGTACTAGACTGATGCAACCTTTGTCCTAAAAAAGGAAATTTTGTATATTTTTTACAATCACCACAGCATTGTGCCATCTGCAATAGCTAAAAGGTATTGTATGGCATACACAGAATTCCAGGCTATTATTTTGAAGTAATCAGCCAACTATTTAGCTATAGGCTTTAATAATAAAACTTGTGAAAGTACAGACAGGCAGTACCTTTTATATCCAGCAGAGAGCAGTGGTAGCCTAGTTTCACTCTAGCTGGTTAAACAGTTCAAAGAACAAAATTATTTTGTTTTGTATTTCAGCATAACCAATCTGTAGAACCCGTGATCCCCCAAAAGAAAATGCAAAGCACTGTGTTCTCTGCATTATAAATTTTCTCTTGATAAACAATGCAGAGAGGCTCTACAATCAGCACTTTAATTTGATTTTTGCTTTGGAAAAGTGACCAAATAAGGAAAATGATGAGTAAAAATTAGGTTAAGTCATTTGACACTAATTGGCTTTGTTACCTCTCTCTCTTGGCTTAAATCTTGCTTTTGCCATCAGCAACTGATATACTGGACTGCATTGCTACTTTCATAATGCAGCTGTTTAGATTAAAAGCTAAGAGTTTGAGAAGTTGGAATGCATAAAATATTGAGGAAGATGAGAAATAAAGAACAGAACTGAAGAAGAAGAAATGCATGGAACAAATGGGATCATGGAAATATTTTAATCTTCTCTAATCCATTGTTCTTCAGATATATCTTCCTATAATTCTTGGAATTCCCAGCCAGCTTCGATAAAATGATAAATTCTAGGAAATGCCATACAGATTACTGTAAAAGCTTCTAAATTTTTGAACTGAGAATTTTACAATTTTCATTATTAAAAAAAGACAATTCCAAAGCATGTATACAGTAAGATTAAACAACAACAAAAACTACAGAAGATAATAAAATCCTAGCTTTACTGGTTTCAGAGGAGATGAATCTCCTATTATAGAAAAGAATTCAAAAAATTGTCATATATATAAAGACTTCATGCAATATATAAAGACTTCATGCCACTGATTTTCATGCATTGGATGATGGTAGTGCTGGATCATTCCTATTTCTGTATATATTTTTCAATGAACTAATAATATTATAATTTGCATATCCTAAAATGTATATAAAACTCACATTCTATTAATAAAACAATGATGGAATCAATATAATTGTCTCTTTGTGCACATATTAGTAAACTAAGCTTTTGTAAACCATAGTTAGACTTGGATGGCTTGGTAAGACTTACAAAGATAA